GAGCCCCTGCCCCGGGTTTCCAGGGCCCCCCACCGCCGCAGCCCCCGGCCACGTCACTTACTGTCACATTTCATCCCCTGGTGAATGAGCCCGTACAGCAACGACCCGCAGTGGTCACAGAAGGTGGGGCTGGAGTACGTGTGGATTTTGAATTTGTGTTTGCTCCGGGGATCCTAGGGGGGAAATAAAAGATAAAGATTATAAACTTGCATCAAATATTGGCAGGGCAGCACCGCTCTCCGCATTTCACGTGCCAGCTGGCTTCCGAGGGGCTGTTAATGGCCGTCAGTCAACAGCCACCGACCGACGTGGACCTCTTCCAGCAGCCACCACGATCCAGCTCTATACGTGTTGCCATAACAATGAACAAGCAACGCAGGGATTGTCTGGGATTGATCGCTTTGAAGTACTCGGTCTTAGCATAGAAAACACCAGGTGAAGCTGGTACCTAAGAGCCAACGTGAGGGCTGGACACCGCTCAACTTCCACGTCAACCCAGTGGGGTAAAGCAGAAAAACCACCCGTGATTTCCATCCCTCTTCAGACCGCCCAGTAAACACCTTTGTGCGCCGGTGCCAGCCCCCCCTGCATGCTCCCAGGGAACCAAGCTGCTTAGGGCACACTGGAATTCATTTTGAGCCTTCTGGAAACTTCTCTGCAACAGCCGAGTGCGCGGCCCCAGGGAGCCCAGTTCATCCCGGGCACCGTGCGAGCAGGGCCGCTGGACTCCAGCAAGGCTCCACCGAAGCTAAAGCCAAACAACTTCAAACAAGAAACAACTTCTCAGCAGGGAGAGAGGATCAACCGCTGGAACAACCGACGCAGGCAGACCACGGATGTGGTATTTCTTGGTATCTCCCATGCAAGACACGACAATTCGGGAAGCCCTGATCCAACTTCAGTTACCCAGCCCAGCGCAGAGCACCCTCAAGACAACGCGAAGTTACGCCGGGGACAGGACTAAGCAACCGGACGTCTCCTGCTGGCCCCAGCGCAGCGTGGACACCATGGGTTTCAGCTGCTGTGGCTGCTGGAGAAGCCGGGGCAGCAAACGCAGAGCCCCAGCAGCAGCCTGGTACTCGCTGCCTGGCCCAGGAGCTGGAGAAACCCCACTGCCAGGGGGGGACGTCACCATCAGGACCTCGAGCGCAGCTGAGCAGAGCCCAGGTGATGCTGGGACCATGCTGGGACCACGGGCACCGCCAGGCAGAGCCAAGGCAATGCCGGGACCATGCTGGGACCACGGGCACAGCCGGGCAGAGCCCAGGCGATGCCAGGACCACGCTGGGACCACAGGCACAGCCGGGCAGAGCCGAGGGGATGCTGGGACCATGCTGGGACCATGGGCACAGCCGGGCAGAGCCCATGAGATGCCGGGACCACGCTGGGACCATGGGCACAGCCGGGCAGAGCCCAGGCGATGCTGGGACCACGGG